TTTTGGGATTTTTGGGAACATTTTGGGATTTCAGGATTTTCGGCAACGTTTCTTTCAAAATTTCCAGGAACGCTCCCGGATTTTCGGGATTCTTGGGAACATTTTGGGATTTTTGGGATTATTTTGGGGACCATGTTGGGATTTTTGGGAATTCTCCGCAGGCCGGGCGTGGCTGGTGCTGCGGCGCAGGGCGCCCGGGGCGGCGACGCCGCTCCGGATTTCAGGAACGTTCCCAGCTTTCGGGGGTGTTTTTTTCGGGATTTTTGGGAACGTTTCGGGAATTGCGGGACCATGCTGGGATTTTTGGGAATTCTCTCCCGCAGGGAAGCTGGCGGTGGGGCTGCGGCGCGGGGCGCCCGGGGCGGCGCTGCGCGGCTGCGCTCAGGCGCTGCTGCTGGAGCAGCTCCTGGGGCAGCCCCTGGGGGGCGCCGCCACCGCCCTGGGCCGCAGCCTGGAGCCGCTGCAGAGGCGCCTGCGCCGCTGCCGTGAGTGAGCGCCGGATTTCGGGAATTTGGGGAATTTTGGGGAATTTTTTGGGAACTTTCAGGGCTTTAAATGGGATTTTTTGGGGGGTTAAATGGGATTTTTGGGTGTTAAATGGGATTTTTGGGGGATTTTTTGGGGGTTAAAATGGGATTTTTGGGGCTTTTTTTGGGGGGTTAAATGGGATTTTTTTGGGGTTTAAATGGGATTTTTGGGGGATTTTTGGGGGGTTAAATGGGATTTTTTGGGGATTTTTTGGGGGGTTAAATGGGATTTTTGGGGGATTTTTTGGGGTTTAAATGGGATTTTTTTGGGAATTTTTGGGGTTTAAATGGGATTTTTTTGGGGATTTTTTGGGGTTTAAATGGGATTTTTTGGGGGTTTAATGGGGATTTTTTGGGGATTTTTGGGGGTTTAAATGGGATTTTTTTGGGGGGTTAAATGGGATTTTTGGGGGATTTTTGGGGGTTTAAATGAGATTTTTTGGGGATTTTTGGGGGTTTAAATGGGATTTTTTTGGGCATTTTTTGGGGTTTAATGGGATTTTTTGGGGGTTTAATTGGGATTTTTTGGCATTTAAATGGGATTTTTTGGGGGTTTAATTGGGATTTTTAGGGGATTTTTTGGGGTTTAAATGGGATTTTTTTGGGAATTTTTGGGGTTTAAATGGGATTTTTTTGGGGCATTTTTTGGGGGGTTAAATGGGATTTTTGGGGGATTTTCAGGGCTTTAAATGGGATTTTTTGGGGATTTTTTGGGTGTTAAATGGGATTTTTTTGTGGGAATTTTTGGGGCTTAAATGGGATTTTTTGGGGGGTTTAAATGGGATTTTTTGGGGGTTTAAATGGGACTTTTTGTGGGAATTTTTGGGGCTTAAATGGGATTTTTTGGGGTTTAAATGGGATTTTTGGGGGATTTTTTGGGGTTTAAATGGGATTTTTTGGGGTTTAATTGGGATTATTGGCACATTTTTTGGGTGTTATATGGGATTTTTTTGGGATTTTTGGGGTTTAAATGGGATTTTTCGAGATTTAAATGGGATTTTGGGGGGGATTTTGAGGAATTTTTGGGGATTTTGGGGGATTTGGGGAGCCTGGGGGAGCCCCTGGGGGGCGCCGCCACCGCCCTGGGCCGCAGCCTGGAGCCGCTGCCGTGAGTGACCGCGGGGTTCGGGAATTTGGGGATTTCGGGGAATTTGGGGATTTTGGGGAATTTTTGGGGAATTTTCAGGGCTTTAAATGGGATTTTTTTTTGGTTTAAATGAGGTTTTTGGGGGATTTTTTGGGGGTTTAAATGGGATTTTTGGGGCATTTTTGGGGGGTTAAATGGGATTTTTTGGGGGGTTTAAATGGGA